ACTTAATACATCAAATATATGTTTCTTATCATTAACCACATCTTATGTGACAAGGTTCATAACTCTAGCAGCAATATTGCAAGATTTATTTTCCCATTAACTTAGATTTTTTTACTTGAAAAATGTAATTTTTTACTATAACTTCTTTAGTTTTAAAGGGGTCTACCTCAAACTTCAAATACATATTTCTTATCATAAACCAGATCTTATGTGACAAGGTTCATAACTCTTGAAGCAATATTTTCAGATTTATCTCCCTTTGAACTTAGAATTTTCTTTATGATAACTTTTTTACGTTTTAAGGTATCTTCTTCAAACTTCAAATGTATATTTCTTACCATTACACACATGTTGTGTGACAAGGTCCATAACTCTAGTGTGACTTTTTCCAGCATTATATCCCATTGAACTTGGAATTTATGTTATGACATATCATCTTATCATTGTGACTATAGGTACTTGTTACTAAGTTTTGTTTCTGTTGCTGATAGTTTAACCCATTATGGAGTTTTTTCGGAGCTTGATCAGCCTATAACTGCACTAAGTGAACCATGTAGATAATATGCAATGACGTTCCTTGATGGGAAAAAAAATATGCAAAGTTTCTTTGAGCTTCATCAAATAGTTTATCACTAACTTTCTTACAGCGTCATAACAAATTCAACGCTTCACATTACTCCCCTATGATGCATAATTTAGTGATTACACAATACTTGATGGCATTAAAAGGGAATGATTGCACTGCATATGATGTCAATAAATCAAAATAAGCAAGGCATTCCCAGCATATCTATGTATTTTCAAAACTTATGCAGAATGTCTTTTATCTCTTTCTTTATGGATACTATGTTATTTAAGCTTGTCTCGTGAAAATCTGTCTATTTCGGATGATAGTTTTATAACAGAATGATACACAAAAGATAGTGATCCGTAATTATGTTGCTAATTTTTGGCCGGGTTGCACAGGTGCAAACCCGGGTTATAGTATGGTGAATGTCGGGCGGCAGGCAGGTGGGCGGGTGGAGAAAATATTTTCGTAACAGTTTTCTCAGCAACTACTTATCACAGCCTCTTGATATTTGGCATACAGCTTTGACACGTGGTCCCACACTGTCTGTGGGATTTGATTTTAGGTCTTTCGCTCATCCACTTCCTGTTTGCCGACTTAGTTAAATTATCGACATTAATGGTCAATGGTAGGAAATTTTCGTAACAGTTTTCTCAGCAACTACTTATCACAACCTCTTGATATTTGGCATACAGCATTGACACGTGGTCCCACAGTGTCTGTGGGATTTGATTTCAGGTCTGTCGCTCATCCACTTCCTGTTTGTCGACTTAGTTAAATTTTCGACATTGATGGTTAATGGTAGGAAATTTTTGTAACAGTTTTCTCAGCAACTTCTTATCGTAGTATACAAATGCAACCCGTCCTTTTCAGTCTTTGACTTATTTTTATATCATGCACTTATGGATCTCTTCATCTCATATGGAGCTCAAATGCAATTCCTTCGTTTGTTGCCAAATCTCAATAAACGTTTAAATCATTATTTGTTCAAATGTTAAGCATTGGTCTGTGGTGAGATTTCGTAAAATCACTGTATTTTGAGTCCATTAACTGACATTTTCTTAATATGCATTGCATGTTTTGGACACACTAGAACCAACGACGGAAAGAATATCGATCTCAATGAAGACTGCATTGAAATCCAATACAAAAATGGGTAATATAGAGGAGAGTCAGGAGGGTAGAATCACATTTCGATTTTTCTTAAAAAAAGGTTTGAATATTATATAACTGTTTCAAAAGTTGAAAACTTACCCAGTGATTGACCTTATCTGTTAAAATACAAATGTAAATCACAGTTCAGTATTTTTTGATAATTGTGTGCGCTAGATATGTACATTGATGCTGACAAAATTTGTACAGCATATGTATTGTTATACAATAAAAAATGAAGTATATGTGCTTTCCGGACATCCCTCATACTAATAGCAAAGTTTTACTGCCAATCATAGCAAAAAAACAGTGAGAATTCAATAATTACACCTTCAGTGTCAAGGTCATTTCAAAGTCAAGGTCAAAGGTAGTTTCATTTTGTCTAAATATGAAAACAGCCCGTTCATAAATAACAAATTTCTAGCCAGTTTAAGGAAAATAATAGCAAAATTCAATAATTTAAACCTTGAAAGTCAATGAATTATGTTATTTATGACTCAAGGTCAAGGACAGTCTGGTCAACAGAAAGGAACAGGATTGTTGTGTTCATAGCCATTTTGGTATTTTTTGGGGATATTTAAAATCTAAATTGAAAAGGGGCATTTAAATAACTGAGTTATGAAACTTGACACAGACAGTTGCATTGTGATTGGTTTGATGTGCTAAGTTTCAAGTTAATATCTCTACCGGTTCCCAAGATTGGATGGGACAAAGTTAATACTATATACCCCCCCCCAGACACACACACAGATGAAAAGAAAACATTGAAAAAACAAAGAGGTAAAATAGTATTTTACAAGACTTAGTGTTCCACTGCTGGTGGCATTGTCGAGAATACTAAGGCATCAGATGAGTAAACTTTGCAAAACTAGTCATTGTTTGATATACTCAATTTTTTCAATTTCAGTTTTTATACCCCCGAAACGAAGTTTGGGGGGGGGGTATATAGGAGTCTCCCGGCGGTTGGTTGGTCGGTTGGTCCAGCTGTCCGTTGCATTTTCCTTGTCCGGAGCATAACTTAAAGACTAATGGTTGGAATTCAATATAACTTCATACAATGGTCAAGCGCATTGAGAGGAAGTGCAATGCACAAGAACCATAACTCCATCTTGACTAACTACAGAGTTATTGCCCTTTGTTACTTTTTCTTGTCCAGAGCATAACTTGAAAACTACTGGTTGGAATTCAAAACAACTTCATACAATTGTCAAGCACAATAAGGGGAAGTGCAGTGCACAAGAACCATAACTCTATCTAAAGTAATTACAGAGTTATTGCCCTTTGTTACTTTTCCATTGCTTTCTTTTGTCCGGACCATAACTTGAAGACTAATGGTTGGAATTGAATATAACTTCATACAATGGTCAAGCACAATTAGAGGAAGTGCCAGTGCACAAGAACCATAACTCCATCTTGACTAATTACAGAGTTTCTACCCTTGTTACTTTTCCTTGTCCGGAGCCTAACTTGAAAACTACTGGTTGGAATTCAAAACAACTTCATACAATGGTCAAGCACAATAAGTGGAAGTGCATTGCACAAGAACCATAACTCCATTTTGACTAATTAGAGAGTTATTGCCCTTTGTTACCTTTCCATTGCTTGTTTTGTCCGGAGCATAACTTGAAGACAAATGGTTGGAATTCAATATAATTTCATACAATAGTCAAGCACATTGAGAGGAAGTGCATCACATTTCTATTTCTTTGCATTTGTCTGTCGGTCGGTCCGTAGACCAAATGGTTTCCGAGTGAGAACTAAAGAACGCTTTGGCCTAGGAACTTAAAACTTGGTGTGATGATTGTCCATGACCAGTAGATGACCCCTATTGAATTTGGGGTCAAAGGTCAAGGTCACATTGACCTTGTAGGTAAAAACGGTTTCCGAGTCATAACTAAAGAACACTTAGGCCTAGGAACTTTAAACTTGGTATGATGATTGTTCATGACAAGTAGATGACCCCTATTGATTTTTGGGTCAAAGGATCAAAGGTCAAGGTCACATTGACCTTGTAAGTAAAAATGGTTTCCGAGTGATAACTAAAGAATGCTTAGGCCGAGGAACTTCAAACTTGGTATGATGATTGTTTTTGACCAGCAGATGACCTCTATTGGTTTATACAGAATTTATTTTAGTTCGATTGTGTAGGAAGCTATAAGCTTATAGACACACGCTTTAGACAGATTTCCCCTTCAAGTGATATATAATTCATGCCTTTTTATCAATAACTCTCACGACAATAAATGTAGTGCACAAATTTTTTGGACAACCCTCGTACATGTATCACCAATAATTTGATTGAACCAAGCAAATCCAAATAAGTCTATAGAACAAATTTCTAATAGAAGATGCCCAATCCTTCATACACTATCCTGTTGTTTCAACATAGAATTTTTTGGATATCTATATGCATTATCAGACATACATAAAAGTTTGATCCAGTATTTTATATATTTGATATGATGATCAATACACAATGAAAGTCTACCACATTCTCCTAAACCTACACAATCATTTACAGAAGAAATTTTTACAATATTGAATCTGAACTTGCTCTAAAATGTCCGAATATTCAGTACCATATTTCCGCTCCATGAGTGCGAATAGGTTTGACCATTGAATCAAATAATTTAAAATATTCATTGTGTGAAAAATATCCAAAAGTTCTCTGGTAGGATTTAAAAGCAAAAATAGATTTTTTGGCTTGTGCAGCATGTTTGGCTTTTGCTTAAGACCGAGAAAGTTTCGGTGTAAATAATAATCCCATATGTTTGTAACAAGATGTAACATTTACAGGTACACCTTTATGTGACCAACATTCGTATGACCTTAATGGACTGTCATTTTTAAACACAATTATTTTGGTTTCCCACCTGTTGATATAGGTGCATGATGTCATTAGGAAACTTCTGATATTATGGTAAGGGAAAATTAAGGCCCTGGAATATATGCAGTGTGTATATTGTTTCTTGTAATATGTCAAAGTGGCCAGAAAAATGTGATGTACAGAGTTTGTTTTTGTTTTTGAAGGTTGACTTCAAAACTGATTGGCCATGTGTTACCTTGCAGCACAGGATTTTGTAGGTAAAATTAAGGTTTCAGTTTAATGATCCTAAAATCTGCATGATCTGATGCCCTAAAGATTCTGATAGCACTTTAAAATCATCATTTTAGGATTAAACACAATTTGATGCAGTAGCATTGAAAGATTATTGCCCAAGGCAATAGTACATATGCAAATGAACTACTGCTGCACATTTTTCTCATTTAATATTTGCAGGTTGTTGTGGTGACAAATCTAGTGAAATATTCACATTCATCTGTAGATGTCTTGTCCTGCTTTTCCTGTGTAAGTTAAAATTTATCATGTAGCATAAAAGGGGGACAGCAGATATATTCAACGATGGGCCTGGTGAAATTTATTGATAGTACATAATTAAAGTATTGAAAACATTTAATATTTCTCTGTCATTGTAATGCTTACTTGTTTGTGTGTAGAAAGTATTTGAATGAAACTAAATATTTGCAATTGGTAGCTTTGTATGTATTTGTGACTATCTAAATAAAAGAAATGTGAAAATCAAGCATTGACAATTGTTTACACAATGTAATAAACTTTATATCAATTTTGCGAAAAATCTAAAAGTGATTTTCTGTTAATTGGACATGTATATACATACATGTATATTATACCTCATTTGCATATGCCCTTCTATATTTAAAATGACGTCATCCCGTCCATAAATCGCATACAGACCGGCTACCCTGTCCATAATTATTATATGGACTGGATGATGTCATATTAAATATAGAAGAGTGTATGCAAATGAGGTATAATATTTATACCACCGAAATGAATGTTGGGGGTATATAGGAGTCACTCTGTGGTCGGTCCAGCGGTCCGTTGCAATTTCCTTGTCCAGAGCATAACTTGAAAACTAATGGTTGGAATTCAATACAACTTCATAGAATGGTGAAGCACATTGAGAGGAAGTGCAGTGCACAAGAACCATAACTCCATCTTCACTAATTACATAGTTATTGCCCTTTGTTACTTTTCCTTGTCTGGAGCATAACTTGAAAACTACTGGTTGGAATTCAAAACAACTTGGTCAGCACAATAAGGGGAAGTGCAGCGCACAAGAACCATAACTCTTTGTAAAGTAATTACAGAGTTATTGCCCTTTGTTACTTTTCCATTGCTTTTTTTTGTCTGGTGCATAACTTGAAAACTACTTGTTGGAATTCAACACAACTTCATGCAATCGTCAAGCACATTAAGAGGAAGTGCAGTGTTTAAGAACCATAACACCATTTTGACAAATTACAGAGTTATTGCCCTTTGATACTTTTCCTTGTCCGGGGCAAAACTTGAAAAGTACTGGTTTGAATTCAAAACAACTTCATACAATGGCCAAGCACAATAAGAGTTAGTGCATTGTACAAGAACCATAACTCTGTCCAGAGTAATTATAAAGTTATTGCCCTTTGTTTTCCCCCGCCTTTTCAAGGAAAAAAGGGGATATAGGAATAGGCTCCGTCTGTCTGTCCGTACAAACCCAGAGGTACTTGTGTGAAGAACAATGGGTAACAGTAAATTCTCTTTGATCCTATTCATTCTGTTTTTACTTGTGTGTCTTTTTTAAGCCTTGTGTGACTAAAAATGGCTAAAAAGATCAAAGGAAAAGTCACATAAGTACTATTTCGTAAGTAGGTCCGTCTGTCCGTCCGTCACACTTTCGCGTCCGGTCCATAACTTTGTCATTTATTAAAGGAATTTGAAATAACTCGGCACAAATGTTTGTTATAATAAGACGATGTGTCATGCGCAACAACCAGACCCCTACCTCCAGGGTCAAGGTCGCACTTGCTCATTCAAGGTCAACATTGTCTATTTGAGGGTATATGTCTTGTCCGGTCCATAACTTTCTTATCTTTGAAGGGATTTACCCGTCCCTAGATTTGCCACTAAAATGCCACCCTTTTCAATGGTGGAGTATTTAGACAATTTTCCACCAATAATTCCACCAAAATGCCACCAAAACGCCACCCAAATCATGAAAATGGTGAAAAATTTGAGCAGGACTGATGTTATATAATTTTCCAGTTAATTCCACCTTTTTTACACTAAATGCCACCAATGAGTGGAAAATTGGTGGAGTATTTAGACAAACTTTCACCATAATGCCACCATTATGCCACCTTAGGGTGGCAAACTCATTTTCCACTAGATGCCACTTGTTTCCACTTATTGCCACCATAATGGTGGAAAATTGGTGGAGTATTTAGAACAAATTTCCACCATTATGCCAATATTGAGTGGCAAACTTATTTTTCCACCAAATGCCACTTATTTCCACCTTTTGCCACCATAAGGGTGGAAAATTGGTGGAGTATTTAGACACTTTTCCACCATTTTGCCACCAGATAGTGGCAAATTCAGTTTCCACTTAAATGCCACCTATTTTCACCCTTTCAGCAAATTTTCCACCTTGTGGGTGCAATATAGCTGAAACTGCTTTGAAAGTCACCCTGTACCCTAAAATGAAAACAAACAAATTTTTAAAATAATCCTTTTTTAATGTTTCTCCATATGAAATTATATATTGTCTCAAAAAATAGCAAAACATTAGTCCATTTATTTTCTTCAGTTTATCTTGCTATTCCTGGACGGTTTTGAGTTCAGTCCTTTAGGTTGTCGGCAAACTTTTCGAGGGCACAATCTAAAACAAAAAAAAATGAATGATTAATACAATAATTAAAAACATAAGCTTACATTTTTATATGACTATTGGATATTTCTATATTCAATTTGAGTGCATAGAATATGATTAGAACACTTTAAAAAACAGCACTGCAGACGTGGAAGAATCAGACTTTTCTTTATTTACTCCAAGGCAGAAAATATACGCAGAATCAAAATGATATCATTCAGTTCATTAGTTACCTTCCAAGAACTTAAGTTTTGCCTTGTCTGCACGAGAAGGTCTGGCGTCAGACTCTCTCTGTTCCGTTTCCTCATACCAAACAATGAGCGGCCTTTAATCTCTTCTATATTGAATAGCATTCTGAAGAGCTTTGCTGTACCTTTCTCTTTTGAGGCATATGGCTTTAGTTCTGCCATCACTTGGTCCTAAAATATGATTAACAATATCAAATAAGTAAAGACAGAAATGATTATCAATATCTAATATGTAAAGACAGAAAATGAAACACTTTTTATAAGACCTTTGGTTTATATGTTTACAACTCAAAAATTTTAAAATAAGAAAGAAATAAAGAAATACAACACATCAACACCAGTGCAGGTTGAGTAATTAATAATCTTCCAGTTTCAGTTCTTAACGAACCTTCATCAGGATAATATTTGATAAAATTTTCAAGCTAAAATGTACAAAAACTCTAAAATTTGTAAAAACAAAATGTAAATGCAAATTAAAGTGTCATAAAGAGTTTGAATTAAAGTAGGTTTTGTAAATAGTGACTAATAGCTATATTTATAAGAACTGAAAAAGTGTCTTATTGGGTACTGTGACACTTCTTTCCTATTAATTCTAAAATAACTTTGAATTAACAAGATACCTTTGTAAAGCCACTGAAGATCAAATGTGTTGCTCCAGGCTGCTCCTCATTGCTTTGTGTCTGCAAAATAATAATTCTTATTTAATTGCTGTTTCTATTATGAACTGTCATTCTCCTAATAGAATGTTACTCTAGACTGTCTAGTTATGGCTATATATCTACTGCACCATGAAAGCTGAATTACAACAATGAAGGAATGAAACTTACTAATAAATCAGTTACTGTTAATCTGCTTGACATGTGAAACACAAGGAAAATTGTTTATAGCATGAAAGTTGTAGTAATAGGTACCTCAGGTTATCTATAGTTTGATTGATGTAATATTGTACATAATGATATTGTACTTACTGATTAATTTCTATAATTTTTTTCTCATACTTAAAATTTCTAACATATTGTATTTAAGAAATGATGAAGATCTTCCTACATTCTTTATATTCCTACATTCTTTATATGTACATTGTACATGCAGCTTTCTTTTTTAGTCAAGTTACAAACAAAACAAATATAAAACACAATTTTATTACAATACCACTTCATATTTTTACTGTCAAAAAACTAACATTTCTGCATAAATTAACAATAATTATTGTATGTAAAAGTTGTTTACCTGAAACTTTTGACTGGGAATGATTCTGCTGATTATCTTCTTGTCTACACATTCACACTTCAGTTAAAATTTCTTCATTTCTATTTACCACGCTAATAGACTTTAAATGTTTTTTCTTTGAGAAATCAAAAATATGCACCCTTACATTTTTAAACAAAATATCTCCAGAATTCTACAATATCAATAATTTCCTTTTTGTGTTTGCAAGCTTTAAACTGACCTCAATTCCTTTGAATTCAAACTTTACAACGGTGTAACTGCATGGACAGTCCATTATAATTTTAAATTGTGAGGATTTTCCAAAAAAACCATAGCACCCATCATTTTATTTTTACATTCATTTGAATGTATAACTATATCTAATACCTAAATAGATTGAGTAGAAATAAGCTTTTGAAAGATAATTAAGGATGCTATTTTAAGACAAATTCTACATAAAACATGTATAATGTTGCCTCTCCCAAAAAAAATCAAATGGAACATTCTGGTCAGCAATGAGTAAACTATTAACCCCCATTCATAGATTACTAGATAGAGGGCAGTAGTTTTATTCAGATCTGAGATGTATGCTGTGTTGTTAAATCTTAGAGGATGCAGTATTTACTAGCTAGTATTTACTTTTCCTGATTGTAAGAAATTTTATCAGACATTATGACTTATTTACTTTTCACACATTAATTTTTACAATAGATTTAAAGCCTCTGAAAAATAGCACAAAAGATGTTAGAGACAATAATTTAAAACTCCACATATAACTTAATCTCATTTATGAGAAGTTACAATGCCAAGGAACCATAACTTTTTATTGCATATTTGGGGTTTATTGCCATTTTTTTACTTCTCCATGCTTAATTTTTTGTCTTGATCATTAAGCTTAAAAAGTACTGGAGATATTAATTTGAAACTTCACAGATATAGATCTTTTTTTGAGTAATGTGCTGTGTTTAAGAACCATAATTCTTTGCATACTTTTGGAGTTATTGCCCTTTGCATTTTTCACTTTAATTATTGTTAGCATTACATGAAAAGTGTTAGTACTCACCAGATATCAGTTTAAAGTAATATTGAAGAGACAATTTATTATGTCAATTAGAAGAAAAGACAAAAGTCAAAAACTTTATTCAAGATTGACATTAAATATCATAGAAGAAGCAACAAACTTTATGCAGAGATATGCATTTTCTGGGCATAGAAGAACATTTCAACTATTTAATGTACAGATTATAAACTAAAAAACAAAGTACACTTTAAAAGCCGTAATTTTATTTTACAAGCATAGAATGGAACATAAACATTTTGACTTGAAAGTCAAATTTTACATCCCTAAAGAAAAGTACTGCCATAAAAAATGGGAAGTTAAGTAACCCCATACTTTTCTATTTTTCCTGATCATAATTATATGTGTTTAACGCTGGAAAAGTGATTTTACGTCCAATTTCTGTGTCTTTTCCTGCTACTTTACAGCTTGGAATTATCATACCGTTACTGTGAGGCAGTGACTTTGTAAATTGTGTTCATGGCATTCTAGTATGTTTAAGAAATATGAGTTTCTGATAAAATTTTCTAACTGTTCAACTTCAATAAATTATATTTTTGACAAAAAAGTTCACTTGATGCTTTGGTAGAGTACAAACTATAAACAGATTTATTTCAGTTTGGAGCTTTGACTTAAATAAATCTTAAACCCTGCAATGCACAATTATTAGATTTTCTCAGTTTTTTCCACCATTTTTATACAACCCAGAAATAGTTAAGAGTTTCCCTTTTCGACTAAAAGTTATTCACAAAAAATTTCTAAGTTTTTTTCCACTATTTGCCACCCAGAAAATAGTTAGAGTTTCACTTTTCCTCTAAAAGCCACTCATTTTCCACCTTCAAAATAAAATAAGTTTCATTTTTCACCAATTTCCACCCTTTTGCCACCATAAAAAAGTCTATGTTCAAATTTCCACTCAATGCCACCTAAATGCCACCAAAGGATAGTGGCATTGGTGGCAATTTTGCCACTACAGTGGAAAAAGAGTGGAAATTTGTCATTTTCCAGTTAATGCCACCTTTTTTACACTTAATGCCACCCTTTTCAGTGGAAATAGCTGGCAAGTAGTGGCAAATCTAGGGACGGGTTGTAAATGCTTGCCACAATTGTTCACAATAATGAGACGATGTCTCATGTGCAACAACCAGTCACCTACCTCCAAGGTCAAGGTCACACTTTGAGGTCAAAGATTAACATAGTATGTTATAGGGTATATTTTGTGTCCGGTCCATAACTTTTTCATTGATCAAAGGATTTTGAAAATACTTGGCACAAATAGTCACTATAATAAGATGATGTGTTATGAGCAACACCTGCGTCCCTACCTCCAAGGTCAAGGTTCATACTTAGAGGACGAAAATTAACATAGTCTGTTATAGTGTATATTTTGTGTTTGATCTAGAACTTCTTCATAGTTCAAGGGATTTTAAATAATTTGGCACAAATAGTCACAATAATAAGATGATATGTCAAGTACAACACCTGCACCCCTACCTCCTGGAGAAGATTATGCACTTTTGCATTATGTCTTTTTATTTTCTTCCTATGTTGAAAACTTTGGTTGCTTTGGCAACAAATAGACTGAAAATATGGCTATTTTAACACATAAACTGGATCCAATGATAACGCAAAAGTACTGAAAATATTTTTTATGAAACTTGATATATGGGTAGATGGCAGTCTAGAGGTTTTGCACATCTTTTTCTTTCCTCCCTATGTTAACAACTTTGGTTGCTATGGCAACAAATAGCTTTAAAATATGGTAAATATACACATAAACTGAATCCAGTGAGAACGCAAAAAGTACTGAAAATATTTTATGAAACTTGAAATATGTGTAGATGGCAGTCTGGAGATGCACATCTTTTTCTTTTCTCTCTCTGTTGAAAAATGTGGTTGTTTGGTTTAAAATATGGCAAATATAACAATATTTGTGATTACTCAAAAAGTAGTGAAAACATTATTTTGAAACTTAAAATATGGAAAGATGGCAGTCTGGAGATAATACATATGATTTTAATCTTTACTATAGGGAGTATGTTGAGAGTTGTCCAGTACTCACCAAGCTTCGGCGACTTTGTTCAAGTTTTTACGCTTTTTCACTATAAGTTCTTTATTTCAAAAGGTATTTACTTCTTTCTGATCATCAAACACATCATATGTGGCAATGTTTACAACTCTAGCACAAAATTTATCAGAATTGCACCCCTTGAACTTAGAATTTAAAAAATAATGTTTTTTTATAACTTCTCTATTTCTTAATGTTTCTACTTTAAACTTCTTATAATTATATGTGTCTTATTATCACTCAAATCAATTATTTGGGAGATGGTTCAATACTCTAGCTTGACTATTTCCAGAAAAATGCTCCCCCCCCCCCCCCCCTTGAACTTAGATTTACCAGTAGGAGACTTATGAATTGCTTGCAATACTATGATAATTGCTTGTCTTTTCAGTAATGTTGTTTTGATTACCAGATATATGAGAGGTCTGTGGTTCAATCCCTACTTTTGCTATTGTATTATACCATTTCTTTTGTTTGTTTGATTGGATTTTACGTCACACCGACACAGTATAGGTCATTTGCGACGTTCCAGCTTTACTGGTGGAGGAAGACCTCAAGAGCCCTTCCATGAATTATTTCAGGCACGAACGGGCACCTGAGTAGAACCACCGATGTTCCGTAAGCTAGCTGGATAGCTTCCTCACATGAAAGAATCCAAAGTCCCTGTCGAGATTCGAACCCACAGTGGTGAGGGGCAAGTGGTTTGAAGTCAACGACCTTAACCACTCGGTCACGGACTCCCCATACCATTTCCAGGCTTTCTACTGGTCCCTACTTTTCCTACTTTTCCTACTTTTCCCTACTTTTTTCTTTTGATCCCTACTTTGCCCTACTTTTTTCTGAAATAGCCCTATTATCCCTACTTTTTCATTTTGAAATGAAATGAAAAAAGAAGATATCTAAAATGGTATTTCAGTTGTATTTCAGTTGCAATTGATTAATAGTTCAGGTGTGTGTTAGTGTCTCCTTGTGATGTCCACCCTTGAAAGACTCATGGTCAGAGCTGCATTACTGGTACTAGTACTGCAATATATACTGGAGCAATTTTGCAAGTACTGGTACTGATACTGAATTACTCTTACAAAATTTTGCTACTACTCAGGTACTGGTACTGCATTACTGTCTTAAAAAAGTGGTACTGCTACTGCATTACTAGGCAGTATTTTTGGTTTTGATAAAAATGTCATTATTTTTACTCATAAAGTAAAGCTGTAAATTCCACATATTATTTTATTTTTGTGAAAAAGTAAGTTATCTAATCTATAAATAATTTGCTGCAATATTCCTTCAAATGTTAACATAGTATTCATCATAAAAAAGCACCAAAGACTTAAAGTAAAATTAAATTGAGATAAACAGAGTCAACAACTCTTTACTGGTAAAATATCCTCATTGCAATTTTATTACTTTGTATTTACTAGTAAAAA